TTGGATTGCACTTGTTTCATACGTTGGAGGGCTCTCGCTTTTTGGTGTATTCGAATCAGGTGTGCCGGTGCGGCCTTTCATCTAAGATACCTCAGCTTGCATGAATATTCTGAATTTAAACCCAGAACTAAATTTATACCATATCCATGCCACGGTATCGCAATGTCCGCATGAGCACTATTGCTTGAGGTGCGGCCACTTCATCCGTGCCTTCTTCTCTTCCTATTTGTTCATCGCATGCAGCAAGTACTTCTTCAGCTACAACGCCTGTCACAACACGATCCATGTTTGCTAAATAAAAGATAACCAGTAGTTGGCTGATTGTTCAAAGTAGTGAGGTTTACCTGTTTCCATTTGCCACACATAGACGCTACCGTCATCCAACCGTACAAGCATAAAATCATCGAGAGGTCGCCATTTCACCAGACTAACAGGATGAGGATGTCGTGAGGCAAGCAGGGCACACTTCATATCGCGAATATTCAAAAGTGAGACGCTGTTATCAGCTGCCACAGAGCAGATACACTTGCTCATTTGTTTCTAGAAAAAAGGAACATGAAGTCGAGCTCTAAAAACATGCACTTCAGAGGACGTACGCTAGTATTAGCCGGAGGAACAAGAAAGCGCAGAATCGGTCCACCATGCACGCAAAACTTGTACAATTTCGCTGCAGTATTTATATTCCAGACAATTACAGCAAAATCATCAGCACCAGACAGCAACACTTGTGGGTCAAAGCGTGGGTGATGTTCAAATGGGTAGAAAAGGTTACTAGAATAGTTTTAAAAAATCAAAATTTAGACATAAAAGGGAGATAATTGTGTGATTCTCACGTCACAGCTGCTTTATGTCCAACTAATCTTCGAATTGTAGGCTTTTCCAGAGATATGTCCAAAAGTTGTCGTGACAATGTCTCACAAGCGTACGTCATTACAATTAAGCCATCTGCTCTACCAATCAGCAACTTCCCTTGGCTGCTCACGAATAGGGAGCATGTCACCTCGCCGGAGTCCTTAAAGGGAAACAGGTCAAGTGGAGGCAAAAGAAGCATTACCGTAACACCGACCAATACAGGTAGAGACAACTGTTCATCGTTGTTGAGGCTATTCCAGATTGATGCCAAGCTTTCCTCATATGTAGCTTTGAACTCTGGAAGATGACAACGATTATTGCAAAATCTAGCTTCCCACTATTTTTAAGATTGATTTTTGAAAAACTAGAACCCAATGGAAAAAGGTAGTATGAAAATAACTTTACTCACTGATTGGAAACTGCGATAGAGATTTGTAACCTCTGAGGAAATCTTTATCAAAATTGGGAATTTTCCAGATAAGCAGCTGCCCTGCATGATTCGCTCGTGCAACTTGATACAACAACGAATCGCCACATTGTCGAGAGAAGGAAAACGTGACGTCATTCAACCACTAAATTTTGAAAATACATATTAATAAAAACCAAACATATCTGTATTGCATTGACCCATGTGAACCGTCAACCTACCGAACGCGGATTTGCATGAGATGTATCCAGCATTGCAAATTCAAAAGGGTTTGCCATGCCCAGAAAATTTTTGGGGTTGACGCCAAATTCTTGGCGAACCTGGGGACCTTCTAGTTTGCTAGAAGTAAATTATTTGGGCTGCATATATTAAATGATATTAGTGTTTACAAGAACTTACTCAATGGGAAGTTGATATATCCTCACAGTTTGATCTGTAAAGGCTATGGCTACCTTATCGATGTTTAATATTTTGCCATTCACAGCTCTCGTAGGGCATTCATGGGTGATGAAAGCGGACAGGTCGTCAAGATCAAGCAGCTAAAAAAGTTAAAATTGAAGAGAATTGGGGAAAATTGACCAAGCTTACATGCCAGGCGTTTGAGCAAATCACAAGAAGAATCTTATCATTTATTGGGTTGAATGAAACTGCCTTCACATCCCTAAGTTCCAATCTCTTTGATTCATCCTCATATAAAGGGGTAGCAAGGTCCTGATGTACAAAAATAAACTTGTAACATATCAATTAAAATGGGTAGGAGAGCTGTTTTACCTTCTTTTCCAACTCCACAAGCGACCAAATTTTGATCATACCAGCCATGGATACACCAATACACTGTTCCGGTTTATTTGGTCTTTGCACAATCTCGTAGCTGCACACCCAATCGGGTTCTACTCTTAAAAAGCCAGATAATTAAGAAACTGGAGATTCTAAGTTGAAATCAACTAACCTGGAGCTGAGCAGGAAAACCACGGTCAAATCCTGTGGATCCATTACAACTATGTCACTATAATCCCCTATACAAAATAACCGTGTGGATCGAGTATGACGGGAGGATTTGTAGGTCTAAATTTAAGTGTTTGTGTGGAAAAACAGACCAAAAAGAGCTTTAAAAACTTACGTAGGGCTGCATGTGCCTATGAATGAATAATGTTGAAACTGAATCGATACACCGACCATCTTGTATGTCCCATAAGCAAAGGTGACCATCGCACGAAGCGGAGATAAACCTTCTTAACATCAACAAGCAGATAAATCCTCTAGAGAAGGAAATGGATGAAACTAACGTTGAGGTGGGCAGATTATTCGTGGGCGATATAGCTGTGATGGGTGCTTCATGGCCTATCATCAACTGTCCTGGTGTTACCGAACTTCCTTCACATTTCCAAGTGATTATATGGCCATTTTGAGCGCCTAGGAATAGTGGAAGATAAGGAAATGCAAACAAAAGCATGTACTCAAACTTCCGTACACAGTGATGCCTAACACGGATTGAATAACAAATAACCTAAGAGACAAAACCCAAAAGAGTAGACACTATTCTGCTGAAGCTTTTTTTTAATATTTCAACATGGGAAGATCGATTACTGGAATTTAAGTTGATATTTCAATATGAGAAAGCGAAGACCCGTTTTACATAGCTTTTCAACAACGTTCTTTTGGAAATACCAATCTTCAAAAACACATCAAAATATTGAGAAAGTGAGATTAAAACTTTACTAGAAAAAAAAGAAATATGAAAGAAACAGAGAGTAAATTGAGATCGTCGCACCTGTAATTATCGTGGCATTGTCGCTTAGATATCGTACCACTGTCATTTTATTTTCCGGTGGTTTCGGTCCCCAGATCACCAGCGGAACCACCAATCCAAGCGTGGTTGATGGTGGAGATGGGTCACCCGTGGCCATTCTGGAATGATAATTCAGTAACTTTTATAAAAAAGCTCTATGTGGATGATGGTGGTGAACTTCAAGTTCAGAATTTATAATTATTAGACAGAATTTAAACTGCAGCCAATAAAA